CTGCTATGCAATACTACTGTCCGATTATCAATTTGTATTTAATGGTGAATGTAGTCTGACGCCATGACCAATATTTATCAATTAAGTTTCAGTGGGGGTAGGGGGGTTTGGAAAAAAACTAAAGGAATTAAGTTTTTTATCGGACATCAATCTTTTGACGTCGTCCCTAAAATGTCTTAAATTGTAAGACAGTTGACATAAAACTGATAGAATGAACATAGAACTCATTTTCATCACATCAGGATCAAAACAACATATATGTATTGTACCAAGAATATAAGAGTGATGCATTCATGTATACCATATGTTATATTCTTCACTCTGCTGTATGTCACTATCATTAAGTGTTAGCAGAAGGATTCTTAATAAATCAAATGACTTTCATTTTTTTTAACTCCAGTTGATGCAGCTTGGCATTAAACCACTTGCGTCATTTTCACCAAAATCATATTGTTTCTACCCATCAAGCAAATTTACTGACAACGGTAATATTTCAGATACGGAATAGCATTTTAAATATAATTTACCAAGATGATAAACAGTTAGCCATTGATCTAATTCACTGACCTCTTCACCTCATTACAACATACTACTGACATACGGTATAAAGTACACTGTACACTAATTGTAATTACAGTAACTATCCCTGTGTAGTTAACTCACCTTTGTTCCTTTCACTCCTCCTGTTATCAGCTCATCTCTTACAGGATTAAAGAGAATGAACATTACAGAACTCAAATCGGAACTTACAGAACACGTCTCATCAAAATCTCTGTTGAGAACCTGAAAAAAAAATATTCACTTCATAAAACAAACAAATTTAAATCAAAAAAGATATGTACAACTCATCACTTAAATTTTGCAGAAGACTGAGAAACAATCCTTTTCTAAACACATTACTTGCTGAAAGCTTTCACAGACATACTAGAATCAAAGCAATATGTTGAGCTATTCTGTATTGAATTCAAATATTTGTTAAGAATAAGCTCAGATATTTCAGGATAATAGTGCATTATAACTACCGGGATATAATGATTCAGTAGTACAACTGAATGTTGTTTTGATCTTAAATTGAAAGCAGATTAAACCTCAAAACAAATAGTTTTACTGAATTAAAATGGAATTAACTACTGGATTAAAATGCTTGGCAAATAAAAGATTAAACAAATCATCAGGGTATACTGCCTTATCTTTCCAATTGAAAGTTGGCTGTATTTTTTGTCTGTGTCAAACTGCTTGTTTGCTTAACAATTTGGCTATACTCCATGTATTATTTACACCCCAGGGTCTACTTTGATTTATACCATAGGATCTGTCCATGTGGTACAAAACAAAGACATGTATCACATGATATCAAAATACATTTTGAGAATCTAATAAAGGAGATTAACCTACTTTCTCTCTTTATTGTTATTAGACAAAGGGTTTTAGAGAAGAAAACTATAAGTCAGCCAAGAAAAATACCAATGGGATTAGGAGGGCAAAAAAGGATTATCGTAAACTACCTTTCTCAAACAATTGCAGAGGTCAAGAGAGTTGACACATAGAAGATTAGCCATTATAATATATATAGGTTAAGCAGGTCATTCAATATCTTTAAGTCACAACAGACCAGAGTGAAACAGGTTATTGTTCAGCACATATTTTCACTTATAAGGTAGCATAAAGTATCATGTTTTAAGTGTATATCAGAATTAAAAATCAAAACTTGTGTTGTCAAAATTCACAGTAATCAAATTAATAATTAACACAATTAAATACTGGCAAAATGAATTTTAAAATGGAATAATGTAAGTTACACCAAAAAATAATAAAAATCAACATGATTTTTTTTTGTTTCTGGGTCTTACTTTATTCTGAGGAACCTCAGAACAATTCTTATTGCATGTATATTTTGTCATAGTTTCATCCAGAATCATTATGTTCATATATTAAACAATACTTATTCATGATAAAAATATTCAAGATCATATTAAGTTGATATGTGTAATTTGAATGAAGCATGCCACACTGCATGTCTGCTGTGTGCCACTAAACATTAAAGTATACATTGTAGATATACTTACCCTTAATGAAAAATCTTTGCCTAAACAAAAATATACATTATATTTTCTTGCATAAATAATTTTTCTCAATAATCTGTTCTGGTATTTGGGATAACTCATTGATCTAACCACTGCAAAATGAAAAAAAATATTACAGGGTGATATCAACTGATTAGAGAACAATTGTAGAAACTTTAATGTTTTAATTCATGATATAGTCCACTGCCTATTGTCAGTATACATGAACACACATTTTCTTTTTTGGGTGATTTTGCCCTTCTAGAAAATATATAAAGAGTATCATTATGGACAACCTTTTTATGACCATACTAAAGTAAATTCACTCGAAGTCATTGGCCACTAATTTCATCCCAACATGCTAGATAGACAATGACCACCTGTTGGACATAGGACATGGCCACTCTCGGGGTGGTAAATAAACATTGATCTAAAATGTGACGGAATGTCCAAGCATAACCTAACATGTATCTAGCTTAAAACTAGCTAAACTTACTGGTAATTACTTTAAAATACTGGAATTTTATGAAAAAGGAAAGCTAAACAGCCAAAACTCAACGTGCAGTTTTTTAATTAATTTGTTCTACAATGACGAGTAAATATACATTTAAATGAGAGATTTAAGCATTACTCAAATCAAAAGATGATTTTCTTACCTATGTTTTCTAGGGCATCTTTGTTCCATGTACAGATACCTCTAGTGTCTAAAAATATGAATTCTCTTGTCCTTGGGTTGTATGTAACTGATGAAAAATTGAAGAATACTGAGTTAATCTTATGACATGACAAATTAACTTTCATCACTCAAGAGTATGAAAGTCCTGTGTTTCTTTAGCATGATACAGTTGCTCAAGTTTATAGTGACATCATTGTTATTGACTGTTTTTTATAATACTACTGCCTCAGTTGTTTTTTTCATAACAGAATAATTACAGAAAGCTGGTTAATACACAGTTTAAAAAAAAAATAATAAAAAATTCAAATCTGAAATGCTTACCATCAACCAGATCAGTCAGCATCTTATTGTGTTCATAATGACCTCTCTGTTGAAATCCATATGGTATCTGGTTAAAATTAGCTTTCTCCCCATATTTATCCGGTGTTCCACTCTCACAAGTCTCTTCTTTATCCGGTGTTCCACTCTTACAAGTCTCTGCTTCGTTATCATCTCGATCTTTACCTGGTGTTTCACTTTTATAAAAGTCATCTTTGCTGTCATCCAAGTCATTATCAGAATCCTCTTCATATAAAACTGGGTATTCCATTTCTTCAATGATGACATCATCAATTATGTCCAGGCTATACTTTCCAGAGTTTGAACCAAGGTCTAGATCTTGATTGAGATCCATTTCTGTGGTGGAGACGTTTTCTACTGAGATCTCACTCATTATGGATAAAGTCAGTTAGGATTTAAGTTCTCATAAAGTCATCGATTCTCAGCATTCACATATTTATTGACTTTCATTGATGCTGAACAATTGACATAATAGTTTATTGTTGTTACCAACAACCACACATTGTTACTATCCTCATTCCAATCACCCTCTACCTATGACAATACAGAGATCAACATCGGTGTACATTCATTGCCTATCAGTCTACAATAAAGATGGTGATTGATTGGTTTCTGTGTTTGATTGGTGTACTTATTTTCTATTACTTCATTATAGTGTTGGCTCTTTGTCTACAATGCCATACCAAACACAAACCTGAAATGAAACAATAGAAAAAGATTTTAACTAGGCTTTATAGCAGGATTTTCGTGAAAATAAGCTTGCAACTGTACAATCGTCTTATGTTGTTTTATATGAACAAGTTACATTACAATAAGTATAAATGCATGTAGTTTTAATAAATATGAATGGATAACAATGGAGATAACTAACCTATTTTGAGACATAAATTAGCTTATAAAGTCTGCAAAATTAGAAACTTGTCATTTTTTCAATTATGAAAGACTCTTCCAACAGTTTCTATTCTAAATACATTTGACATTATCTCAAAATTGTGTGAGACATAATGTGAAAAAATGTACATATCTGGAATAACATAGCACTTTTTGCTTCCATGTGCAAAATATGTACAAATGTAGCTCCTACCATATCTGCATCTTGAAGTATGCGCACATCACAAATCACAATAATTAGAACTGAATAAACTGGTACTTTTAAATTATTATTAAATTATTGATATTTTTTGATTTTATCAAGAAGAAAATATTTTTTTTTTAATTATTTTTCATGAGAACAGTTCACAACATTACCAAATTCAGTCAGTCTGAGTCTGAAACTTAGCAGCATTTTAAAGTTTGAAGTCAACTTGAAAGCAACTCAATTTAGAGTGTGCATACTTATTGCAACTGCAAATGTAATAAAGCTATCCAATTTCAAAACACTTACTTGTCTGTAGTTATATCTATGGCAATCACCTAAAGTGCATAGAGGGGTATAGTTGCACATTGGATACATAGTAAATAATTGAGCCATTCAAAGCTTCCAATCAAGTCATATCAGTTGATGCCATTCTATTGTGTGCTATGAAGCCTATGAACACTGTAACACAATAGTTTGGGGTTGTACCCAACCATTGAAAAACTGTTCTACAGATCAATGGCTCTATATACTGCACTGTGATCTCCGATAACTCAAATCATCTAGCCTAACAATGAGGGAATATTATGGTTGTATATAATGAAAAGGACCAGGGGCAAATATGCCATTATAGTTCATTGTACTAGGTTGCAATGTGTTTTATGCAATATGCTATTTGTTTTGTTGCGTTTTTTTTTGTGCTCAGATTGAGGAAGCAAATGCCTAATTACACGGCTGGGAATTCACAATTTATAAGCTCCTGGAGAAACAATCCAAGCATCCAATGCAAATCTACTACTCTGTCAAATTATTACAATCATAATCATGTATGTTCACATCCATCAAACCATACATACCCTTAACAATTAATTGCACAAAGCTTAATCAACTGGTAAGTATATTTGTAAGCTTTCATGCATGAAAAATAAAACAAATCCAGGTTTTCCACTGATGACAACAAATCTGACAACCCTGGCAGACCACTCACTTTACTCGTGTTTCATCACCATTTATGATGAAGAGGCCGCGGAACAGCAGCATCAAATCTGTGATCGACTCTTTGGGTAGGCACCAACGTTCATTCCAGATTTTCAATACTAGTACATGTTCTTTTCTCTGAGAATTGCTCACAGAACAACAACACCCCCTCTCTTCTCATATTAAATATGAGAGAAAATTCGGGTGAAAGTCGAGGAGTATCTTCGATAAATTTTAAAATTTATGTTTACAAATAAAGGGGCATGGGAAAATATCAATACCACTTTCTGGGCTTTATTTCACGACTGTAACACCGGGCTATGTTCACGATTCGAATCCACGGTTGCCAACCGACCTCCTGCTGTACAGATGTCATGTACAGCTCTGGCAGATACCTATAATTCCCGCAGACATGTAAATGTCACTAAAGTAGACTGAAACTGTCAAATTTAAGAGATTTAGACATATAACCTTGAGTATAAACAGTGTACCTACCTCAACTCGCCCGATGACACAACTGGCCTGCATCAAAAGATCATGTCCAACGACACAAATCAGTGGAGATTACCATTAATTTGGAGATAATCTTTATGTACAGCGATGAGACACAATGTCATCAGTTGTAGTTACCTAAAATTATAATAAAGTCCAATAAAATTGACAGGATGTTGAAAAAAATAACCGAAATCCACTGCCACAGACTGTCCAAACTTTGTATACACTTGTTGCTGGCGAGTAATCCGGGGGTCGCATAAATTATGCAAATATTGACCTATAACCTTTGAAACTTCGTCGCGGTGCAGAAGGGAGGGTTGTTATTATAAATATCAAAAAAATATAAACTAATTAATTGAAACCCTCAAAAGCATTAACTCATAGCATGTATGTATAGTAATGTTTGGATTTTGTGCACGAAGTTTTACAAACTCTTTTCCTAAATTTGCCAATGATTTTCCAAAGGAATGAAGGTATTTGTATAACTCGACATAGGTGGCGCCTTCTCGATTCTTCTTCATTCATTCTAAACCACATTCCATTGACGTTTGAAAATTGGGGTTAGCAGTAAATCCAGCAAGTAAATCTAAGGTTAAACACGTTGACGCCAAAATAACATCTTATTCATTTATTAGAATAGACCTTGGTATCATATTGAGTAGTAGTATTAAAACATGAAATGCAACATATTTGATTTCACCCATATTTACAAATAATAATCCTATCAAGAAGACGAATAAAGTTATACTGTATTAAAACCCATAATGCATTGCATTCGGATGCACGAAAAAATAGAATTGGTCAGTTCGGGAAGAATCAATATTAAAAATATCTAAAGAAACATCTTCGACGCATTGTTAACTTTTATAATGTATTTTGTTATATTGTGTATAGAAGTTTTGCTTTTTTGGTGCGGCAAGCGCATTGAAGCAGATTGAATTCGTTGGCTCGCTGGCTCAGTCTGCGCCTTCCCTACCTTGGTGTATTCTATGCGAAGAAAAAATCATTATTTGGACGGTGCTAAAATAACGCTGCCGAGATAGAAAAAGCGACATAATATTGCCTGGGGCCCGGGTGACTTATAATTGAAACAACTTGTATATTTGCAAAAAGCTAGAGCTCAAAGAAACCAATTGCTTTATGTCATTTGGGTTTCGATTGAGTTAACTCAAAAAGTACCTACACTTATTGCAAAGAAATGACTTGAAAACTTCATGCCTACGTTATACTAGTTTTTTTCGATTTAAATTTGCACTAAAATGCTATGGCAATATTGTCCACTTTGTCAGGGTGGGTAGGTTACGGATAAAGTAGTGTCGATGGGACAGTATAAAAACAACGAGGCCAGACAAACATTTAACATACATCAAGGGCCGTGTTGCCAACAAATTGTCTTATATGGCATAGAAATCTCAGGGAGAAATACTGATGTATTTCACACAACTTTGTTTAATCAACATGTTCCACACAGTTCTCGTGTCGCCGAAATACAGTTACCTCTTATTGTTTAGTTCAATGTACTGCATACTTACATAATCGATGCATTTTTGCAGTTAATTACTAGTACCATGAATTGTTTTGTACGTGAACTTTTGACGAACAGTCCCGCGAACAGTCCTGCAACGATCCCTTTTTAAATCTTCTTTGTTCGTCTCCAGTTTAGAGCAGGCAATTTTGCCTATTCAGCAGTTGTGTGCAATATCGCACTCTAAATTGATCGATCTACCTGCCCTTAGAAGATTATATATATATATATTCTTTATCTAGGTGCATTTTGAATAACTATGACAGCATTGATGGGTGTGTTCAATTATTTTAAGATTTGTTCCAGTTATTTTCAGCTATTGTCGCGTCTGGTGTTCCCAAAGTTCTACTTATAATTAACCGTATATAGATAATGCATTATATGTTTTGCCATCTTTCGAATGTCAATAATTTTGGTGTACTCCTATCATCGAATGTGAACCTAACATCGAATATGGGACTTTTGTATGTTGGATTTTGTCAAACGTACAATGCGTTGCGCAATATCGATATTTTTTAAGTTTTGAGAAGCATTGACCTGCAAAAATATTCGCCCGTCGTATTTCCAATTTCAACTCAAAACGATGATATTAATAGACAATTAACATTCTATATTTCAGTCAAAAAATGTTGTTTTAATTTGATTGTTTGGTATTTGTTGTCTTGTTTGTTTTACATGTAGTTGAAGCCTCCGTTGTCTTTCAGAAGAAATAAATAAATAAATCTAGAAAATATTACACAGTCTCTCTATATTAAATAAAACTGAATGATGTGATAAAACAACGTAGGATGTGTCCAGTCTGCTACACTAAGACGTTATCTGGCAGAGCTGATTTATGAATTCCACTTCCCCCACTATCACCATCACGCGGATGGGCCGATACGTGCTAAATTTGAGTGCGCCCTCTTGTGTTTGAACTTGAAACTACATTGTGCGTTCAAAATTAGGCTGGTTCGCGGACCACTGGTAGTTTATAAAATATGTGTTCAGAACGTAAATCGGAGCAAGATGAAGTTATTACTGTTCAATGTCTATGCTAATTTAGTTAGTTCGAGTTGAATATAGTTCTATAAACTAACACATATTTTGACTCGCCAATCAATCAACTAGCTGCACGTGTGAAAAACTAATTATCATGAGTTATGCGTGTCTTCATCGGCAAATCCACTCATTCAGACGATGCAATGGTTGGCATAAAATCTCATCATGGTGCGCATGCGTGTTACGTCTCTGATATTCGGTGCATTGACCGCCGTTACATGTTCAGACAAAGAACTTAGGAAACACACAATAAATCAGA